CGGGACGTGGGGCGCCTACACTGGGTCTTGGGGCAGCCGGGCGCCCCTCGCCCTCCTTCGCGCGGCTCGCCGGCCACGGGGAACGGGGCTCTCGCCTTTCCGGAACGGCGTCCGTCGGCGCCTGGCGGAAGGGAGCCCGCTCGGCACCGGGCCTTCACGGACCCCGACCGTGGAGCGCGGCGATGGTGGTGGTGGGTGTTGAACGATCGCGCGACCCCGCGGTCCCTCAAAGGGAGGGGTCCCGACCCAGGGGTCGAGCTGGTGTTTCTTGTGAGGGGGGGCGGCGGAGCGCGCACACGCCAGCCTGGCCGCAGCGGAGAGAGTGAGGGAGAGCTCGTCGGGCGGTTTGGGCAAGGGACGGGGGGGCCCTCCACCATTTGGGCGTGATCTCCCCCCCACCCCGCTTAAGACGGCCATGGCACTTCCAGCTGTCCTGGGAGGGAGACCCTCCGTAGTCCCACGCCGAGCAAGCATCAGGGCCGGCCCCCCTGACCACGAGGCAAGCTTTTGTAGGGGGGGCGTTGGAGGAGGGAGGGCATGAACTCCCCCATATTGTTCATTTATCTTTATTCTTAGGGCACCCTGTTTTTACTTCCAAGCATGTTGCAGTACTTTCAGGGTGTTCTTGTGGGATCTTGTTCGCCCAATGGTGAAAGCAGCTTGACCTCCTCCCTCCTGCAATAAGCACCCTGGTCTGTTGTCCAGCCTCGGGCAGCAAACTCTCTTGGGCTGGCCCTGGTAAACATGCCCAGGACTTGGGGAGGGGGGGGGGAAGAGAGCAACTAATGTTTGCTGAGTATTCTTTATGGGGACCATTCCTCAAAAACTCCCCCCCCCAATTGATAAGGAAATGAAAATAATGCTTGGCTCTTTTGTGTGGAGGGGGCCTTGTTTGCTATCGAGACCTGCCAACCAGGAACCTGGGATGTCTTGGCCAGTATCCCGCTGCCCCCCCCCTTGCAGTCCTGGCTGCAGACTGGGAGCCTGGTGGGAGGGCTTATCAGCAGGTGGAGCCTGCAGGTGACTTACCTTGGTTCCAGATGCGATGCCAGAACTCTAGCAACGATGCCCGGTCGCTTCTTTAGGTTGTTTCCTTTTCCTAAGGGATTTTAAACTGCAGAAACGTTGGTTTTGTTTATTGGTTAGTGCTTATAACACTGTTTCAGTACTTTGCGGGAATGCGTACTCAAATGTATATTGAACCACCCCCACCCCCACAAGGTCCTACAAAGGAGAAAGGATAAATCCATGAAATAAATAAATGAGGCTGGTTTCAGCAAGAGTCTCCGATGTCTAGTGGGGTCTGAGAGGTGCTAAACTTTCCCTGGCTTTTGCTTTGCCGTCTCTCCCCCCCCCCCCAAAGCTCCGGCCAGCCTGGCTCCAGCCAAGAAGATCAAGGCCACCATCAAGAAGACGCTGCCTGTGACAGGCCCCCAGGCCCCCACCCTGCGTGAGCTGATGCACTGGTACTGCATGAATACCAACACGCATGGCTGCCGACGCATCGTGGTCTCCCGGGGACGCCTGCGCCGGCTCCTGTGGATCCTGCTCACCCTGATAGCGGTGGGGCTGATCCTGTGGTACTGCGCGCAGCTGATCATGAACTACTACGTGGCCTCCGTCTCGGTCACTGTGCAGTTTCACAAGCTCCCCTTCCCTGCCGTCACCATCTGCAACATCAACCCGTACAAGTGAGTGAGTGAGTGAGTGAGTGAGTGAGTGAGGGAGGGAGGGAGGGAGGGAGGGAGTGCCGCTCCCGAACCCCCTTTCCCAGGCGGGAGAGGCTGCCCTCTTCTCAGGCCACAGGGTGGGACTGGCCATGGCCAGCTCGAGACCAAGGCAGAAGGACAGAGGCGCCAGCTTCTCAAGCAGGAGAAGGGGAAGAGCAGCTGGTGGAAATGGCCCCCTTGGGGCAGAGCTTCAGAATCCCCTAGCCGGCAGGGTTGCCCGCCGTTATGGCCCAAAATTTAACTTTTGGGACCTGTAGGATCAGCTGTGCAGAACAGGACCCACACATTCCTTCCCTCCCTCGCATGCTGCTCTGGGATCAGGATCTGTAGGCCGCTGGGAGCGGCCACGATGAATAGCATCTCCCCTTTGGAATCCTCTGTCGGAGGAGGCCGATCCAGCCTCTTGCAAGAAACCAAGGGCAGCCTTTTGCCTCCTCGCAGGTACAGCGCCATCAAGGACCACCTGGCTGAGCTGGACAAGGAGACCACGAAAGCCTTGGAGTCCTTATACAGCTTCACGGGCAGCCAGCCCCGGGAACGCCGGGAGGCAGGCAGCGAGGAGGCGGAGAAGGGCGGGTTCCTGCAACGCTTTCCCCTGCAGAGGATGGATCGCCTTCGGTCCAAGGCCACCAAAAACGTCTCTACCAGCTATAGACGCCGGAGTGAGACCGATTTCTTTCCGGGGAGTTCCAGCATGGTGAACGTCAACAACCCCGAGGACATGGTGGGCTTCGAACTGGTGAGTCCTACATCAACTCTTTCTCTCTCTTTCTCTGTGTGTGAGTGTTTGTGTGTGTGTGTGTGTCTGACAGCTTTGGGGGACCAGCAGGTGTCTCAGCATCGTCTGCCGAGAGGGTCTCCTGCTGGCCTCCCTGTGACTGGTGCAGCCCCCCCCCCCTCCGGAGCCATGCTGCTTCCCAGCAGGCCTATCTCTGGGGAAGCTCTGCCCACCTGAGCCCCTCTTTTCCTTTCCTCTCCTCCTCCTCCTCCAGTGCGACACCAGAGACAAGAATGATTGTGCCCTTTACACATTCAGCTCCGGGGTCAGCGCCATCCAGGAGTGGTACAAGCTGCACTACATGAACATCATGGCTCAGATTGATGCCGAGGAGAAGGAGCGGATGAGCTACTCGGCCGATGAGCTGATCCTCAGCTGCTTCTTTGATGGCGTCTCCTGCGATTCCAGGTCCGTTGGAGCAGAGAGAGAGAGAGAGAGAGAGAGATTCTGGAGGATTGGAAGGGGAAAGGGTGTGTGTGAGGTGTTTTCCCACTCCCGAGCAGAGTTGCCAGGGAGAGTAACACAAGAGGAGCTGGCCTGATTCAGCAGGCGGTGGGCAGCACATGCAGTCCCTTGGCCATTGCCTGCGCACCTGCAAAACCTCTTGAGGCTGTGATGGAGATGACTGGCCGAAACGAGAAGAGCGGCTGGTCCTGGGAAGTGGGAACGGCTCCTTTCTCAAGCATTCTTGTGAAGGCTGAGCAGATGGAGGGGGGGGGGGAAACGGTGATCCCTCGTTTGCATTTTGGCAAGCACCGATGTGGGCTGGAATTGGAGAGCGGAGGAAGTTCAGAGCTTTGCTTTCTCTCTCTCTCTCTCTCTCTCTCTCTCTCTCTCTGTATGTTTGTTTTAAAATCACACCTTGAGCCCTTGTGGTTTGTGTAGGGTTAGCTGAGGACACAAACTCTCTCTGAGTTCTTAGGGGAGCAAAGCTCCGAGGCAGACCAGGAGAGTCGTGCTGGGATGTGAGCGCTGTTTGGGCACAAATAAGTTTGCTCAGAAGGAGGCCCTCCTGGCTGGGCTGGCCTGATCACCCAGCAAAAGAGTTTGGGATTTGGGGTTTCCAGTGCCCTTGCGTGACGAGGCGCCACCCAGTAGGTTTTTCTTTGAAAGAAGCTTGAAGGGAGGTGGGCGAGCGGGCGGGCGGCCAGGACCGGCATTCCTCCAGGGCAGCAGCCCGGCCCCGAAGCGGCCGTGCCCCACTTGGTCCCAGGGTGGACGAACAATGGAGCGATCCCACAAGCTCTCCGACCTCACAAGCAGAAGCCAAAACCACATTCCTGAAGAGCCGCCCGCTTGGGCTCCGCATCTCCTGTGCCTCCTTTGCTCTGAATACCAGCAAAGCGCGGCCAAGGCGTCCGGCTGAATGCATGCCTTGCTTTGTGTGTGTGTGTGGGGAGGGGGCCAGTGAAGGTGCATGCCCTCAAGAGATGGGAGCCTGCCTGAAGAGCAGGAGAGGGATGCCGGAGACGCCCCTTATACGGGGCGAGACCCGTGGTTCAGTCCAAGAGTCCCGGTACGGTCCCCTGTGAGTGGCCGTGGTGACTCTCCGGCTCCTGTCCTCTCCTGGAAGGTCTGACCGTGGCACCGGCAGAGTCCGGACAAGACAGGCAATCGATCAGGGGTCTTGGTTTCGTCTCCCGCAGGAACTTCACTTCCTTCCACCACCCTTTGCACGGGAACTGTTACACCTTCAACAGTGGAGAAAACGGGAAGATCCTGAGCACGTCTAC